TGCCCAAATACTCTGAATATGCTTGGCCACACGCTCAACATCTGGCTCAAATGTCTGCACGGGTTCATAACGAGCAACCGGAGAGACATGAGCATTCTGTGCCTCTGAAATGTCACCGACACTGTGATTGGTGAAGCTTAACTGTGCGACACTGAGCACCTTTCGTGGGGATTGGTTTGCAGACGACCCAGCGACTCTGAAATTGGTGGCACCATCAGTCGGTGCATTGCAGCTGTTGTCGTTCCAGTACCCAGCCATGATCAGTTTTTGAGACAATGTAAGTGTACCAACGAACCGGTGTCAAGACAGGGGTTTACGCAAAACCATTGACGACAACACGACGACAACTACGAGCCAATAACTGTAATTAAATTAACTGTTAGTTATAAACGAAAAGTGTACCGTACTATCGTCACTGTCAAAAATTATTTGCGAAATTCAAACGAGAAAGTAATGTTTTCGCCACATTAGAAAACTAATTTAGCAGCTGTAGCTGTACAAAATCTCGTAACTGGTACTCACCAGACAGTCGACCCTATAGATCAGAATGATCGCACGAGAAGGCCGAGAAACGACTGAGACTCGGGCGATTAAATTACTGTTTATCGTTGTATCACAGACCACAGTTCACATAGTAAATTTTGAAATATCAAATATTCCAATTTCCAATGGACGAAATCTGTCCTGAGAATTGAGATACTGAGATAATATTCTGAAATAAATTGTTATTATTGTTATTATTATTATTATTATTATTATTATTACTATTATTATTATTATTATTATACTGTGGTGATAGTTGGTACATTTTTAGTCTGTGATATGATATTATTAAATCCTTATCACTTATCAGCAATAATGATTATTTAATATTTTCATTCGATCTTTTGGAAATTACTGAACAATATTTGATTATTTGAAAATATTTATGGTTATTGCCTATTAGCCACCAAATAATAAACGAAAATATTACGCTGAAGGCATTTATTTAGTGGAAAATATTAAATAAATCTTGTTATTCTAAAGTAAAATCTCCGTTTCCATTTTAAAATTAATAACTTAATTTTGCTTCTTGGAAGTCTTTTCTGCATACTTTATTTTATACATAAATGTGTAAGTATATATATATATATATTATATAATAGGTAAGAACTTAAGTTAATTTATGTACCTATAAAAACTATCGAGTAAAAAAAATTAAATGAGCTTGAATTATGTTTTCTATTGATTGTAATGAAAATGTCTATTTTTCTTATAAAACGTTTTTTAAATTTTTTATTAATATTACAACTTTTGTATAATATGATAAAAAACAGAAAAAACTAATGCATAATATAGAAAGTGTCGATAGGTATTTAAAGCTTAATACTTGTTTTTTTTAATATACATTATGTAGAAACTAGCTCTGATCCAACTAAAATTGTAATTTGTCTTTGTCATAACTCATGAATATATTCTAAAATCTAAAACCTTTATAAATTACGCACAACTCGGTCTTTAACTTAAATAACATACTTATTGATCAGTCCACGTTGGTAATATACATAACGTAGAATGCAATATGTTTTCATAGGAGATACTAGATATGTTAGCCGTTAGGTACCCCTTACCGGCCTTACCATCAAGCATCAAGTAACGTCTTAGATTTAATTTAAATATAGGTAATTAATACATTTAGAAAAATTGGTTTAGGTATTATATTTTTATGTAGTAGTGTTATGGGTCAATGGGAGTATACTATTTATAGAGTAAACGTAAATGGCCAAATCTAATCTGTAATTAAAACAAAATGAATTTTACTTCCTTCCCGCAAAATTAATATTCTCCTAGTTACATCCATCATCCATCATTGGTATTCTCGTATAATATACTATATACGTAGGTATATACTGAGTAATTCACCAAGCAATGAGCATTATACACATCACCATTTTTTCCTTCATACAATGATGAATTTATTTAAATTCTAGTTTTAAAATTTTTAAATATAATGTATAAGTAATTAAAGACCATATTATTAAATCTAAAATTTTTTGTAGGTACTACTTTAAAAGTGTGCAGTAGCGATAAAAATTTCTAATACTTCAAATAATGTACATGTAAAATGTTGACAGTTTAAGTGTATAAACTGTTATGAGCCTATGACAAATATTGTACTGTGTATACGTATTATAATCAATAATTTAAGTGATGTTGATATTAGGACGAATATCATGAACATTGTATTATTTAATTTAGCCATTTAGATATGTTCACACGTCGCTCACTTCTTGAGAAAGTCGAAACTCGACATCCCAGGATAAGGATACGAGCCGATATGAATATTAAATTTTATTGCAAGACCCCTACAGGTGATAATGAAGTCGCTACGACCACGACCACCACTCCTTATGAACCGATCACACATAACGGTGATCGAGACAATTAGGCTTAGGAAATAGGAAGACAGACATTCTGCAGAGTGACAGAGGTAGGTCGTAACACCATTCACGGCCATATTTATCAGTAATTTTGAAGTCAGGTCGTAACACCGTTCAACCAACACCTTATATTTACAATATTTACACATATTGTATTTTTGTGCTCTAAGTTACGTTAAATAAAAATTGTTCTACACTTAGTACATCATGTATTCATTCCCACGTTATTGATGTGCATGAATCGACCAAATCGGGACGTAGGTAACTTAACTAATCGCGATCAGTGAATTCGTTTTTGGAATATTAGTAATATTACCCATGTAAGTACAAAAATAATTATTGTAATTTGATAAATTCGTCTCAAATAAACTTAAACGTCTAGACAATATAATTAAAGGGTTTGACGTGCATAATCCGTCCACGTTGTGCATTGTAAAGAAACGAATTGAAGAGCAAATCGTTCATGTATATCGTTTTTTATGACCCATGTATATTTTATGTACATTCCTAATTTGTGAGGTTCATTTGTATATAGATTTGTTTTGTAACATAAAAGCTTTACGAACAAAAAGTTTGATAACCACTTTGATCTAGATTGAAATATTTATAAAGTTATCTTATCTAGATAAATGATAATCTGGGATACTCCATCAAGATAAATATCACAATAAGTTTTTTTTAGAAATACTGAAATAATTGGCAATAATATACCGATGCAATTAAATGTTACGATTAATTAAATCATTCATGATTATTAATAAATTTTTAATTAAAAAAAAAAAAAAAATAAGTATGGATAAATCAAAAATAAAGTCTGAATAAAATTTAATTCGTCAAAACTTTGTATAGGTACGTGTTTATAATGCTACAATTTTGTTAAAATGTATACGATATGTAGGTATAATAACTGCGATAAAATTGCGTTTATAGACTTTATTGGAACTTAACAAGATAGACTGACAAATGTCCAATGGTATTCGCAGTTTCCTCAGAATTATTTTTTGTATGCAATGATGAACCATTAAATTCAAATTTAACACATTAATTAATAATAACTATGACTTACTCAATGTCCAATGGTATAATATTCGACGCTCACTGAACATCACAGCGATTACCTTTTTTGATTTTATCGATTTAATTGAAACTCATTGTTCATAATACGCGTTTATACTTATCTAGTAATTATTTAGTGTAAATCGCAGTCACCAAGATTACTAGAACATATATATAGTTACTTACATTTTTTTTTTGTTTTTAAAACATTTTTAACAGCAGGTACCTTTTCAGATTTTGTTAATGTTCAATAAATCATTTTTAATATTTTTAATTACTACTTGAATTTATGCAGAACCGTGTATTAAGCACATACAAATATTTAATCATACATAAATTTAAATTTAAAAAAGAAAAATTCAAGCCTATAGAAAACTAAAAAAAATATTATACTAAAAAATAAATATACATTATGACTTTTTGATTTCAATAAAAATTTAAATTACTTATACTCTGGGCATAAAAGAGATAGATTAATAAATAATAATAATTAGGTATAAAATAAAATCAACACATATTCTTTAATGCTATATTGTACTTTACTTTATTCATAATCAAAGCTAGGACGCCATTTTGAAACAACTATTAATTAAAAATTACAGTAACACTAAAATAATTAAAACTTATATTGTAATCTGTTTACATATCTAACAAGAGTTTATTAATGTTAACAATATTTTACTTGTTAATTGCATAACAATCAACAGCACTTAATACATTTTAGGAATAAAAAGTGCACATGCTTATAATATATCTGGACAACTGGCACACAATATTAAATTTAAAAAATTTTATATACTTCCACGGTCATACTATTAACGGGACTGGGAATGTAACTACATAATTTAAAAATACATTATCAAATAGAAACAAAATATAATTACAAATTAAAATTATGTCAATAGAGTCCTATAAATAAGAAATAAATATTTACAAAGTATAATTAGGAATCGTTTAATGTTTATAAAGTAATACTATATCAATCTCTTTATTTAAGATAAATAAGTGCAGTCTTTAAAATATGTAATATTTGAATAAAGGTATTTAGGTTATGTCAAAATACACTAAAAAAAAAAAAAAAAAATACTACATATTAAATTAATTTTGTATAATTAAAATAAATCAGATTCTAAATAAATTAATTTAACAATAAAAAAAAAATCTGTATTTTTTAAACATTATTTATAACCCCTAGATAATAGGTATCAATCTACTTTTTTTAGTTTCTTCACACAGTAAAAAATGAATTAAAATAGGTAATGTATATTATAATAAAATACAAATTAGCGATGTTGAATTGACTAAGTTTTGTTAACAGTTAGTTGGTTCATTTTTTTGTTTATATTATATTCATAAATAATTCGAATAAAAAACAATTTTAAATCAGTTATAAATTAACTTAAGCCGTAATATAATATGAAACATGCTAATTTGTTAATCACTAATGACTTAGTTTAAGTATTTTACATTAACTTTTTGCAAAATACAAAATTGAAATAAAAATAAATTATATATAAACAAATTAATAGGTATAGTAGTTTAATAATATGTATTGCAGTTTAAAATTGGATACTTATTTCGAAGATTTAAATAATTTTAATCTAAAATAACATCAATTATAAGCTTTAATAGAGCAGTTTGTTCAATATATTACACTATACATCAATTATGACAAATGATAAAAACATAAAACTTGGTACACAAATAATATAAAAAGAAATGTAAAAAGTTTAGATAAAATTTTACATTTAAAATAAAATTCTTTAACCACCTGAGTTTGTTGTTTCTTCATCATCTTCGTCATCAAAACCAAAACAATTTTCAACGCCATCACCACATTCTTCTTTCACTTCTAACAAGGATGCGGTTTTTAAAATTGTAAGGTCTTTCTGACTTGGAGCTATAAATGATTAATAATTTTATTTAAAAATTAAACAAAAATGTTTTAATTTAAACTTGTACTTACAAGAAGATTGGTCAACTTGTTGTATTGATACACTTGAAGATGAGTAATTACCCATCTGATCTTGACCATCAAGTTGAATCACTTCAAGCACAACATATTGTTGTCCATCTTCACCTTCTACTGCAACAACTCCAGTTTCACTAGTTGGAATACTTGTATCTTCTTCAGATTCGTCTTCATTAGCTGAATCTGTATACTGTAATAATTTATTATCAAGAATTATTTTTAAATTATATCTACTTCACTGAATTACTCATTAATTACTTAAATAATGTAGAAATTTAAACTATCACAATAAATTTAGTTTTACCTAATACACAGCATAAGCATGTATTCCTAACTTCTTTTTTATTTTAAACATTTATAGTAAATTTAAAAAATAATAATACCTCTAGTCTTTGTTTTATTGCTGTATTTCGATCATTTCCAGTTGATTCTTGCATATGAACTTCCATATGTCTTAATAAATTTCCTTTATGTCTAAACGATCGTTGGCATGTATTACACTGATGAGTTTTGGCATGTGGCGGAGGTGGTATATATGCGGGATTATGATACAAATTATGATGGCGGCGTAATAATTGTTTTTGTCTAAATGACTAATTAGAAAAAAAAAATAAGAATAGATGATATTATCTTATATACAATTATTTATATAAATTAAAATATTTTACCTGATCACATTGTTTACAATGGAATGGTTTTTCATCTGTATGTATTAACATATGAGTTTCAAGATGACGCTGAGACATGGAAGCATAAGGACACAATTCACATTTATAGCATTTTTCCCCTTCGTGTGATTTACAATGAACCTATAATAAATATTTATTAGATAATATATTAATGGAAAATGTAAACTTCAATACCTTGTACTGGTAACGATCAGGAAATGCATCACCACATCGCTTGCACTTAATAGGTTTATCAGAAGTATGAAGCTTTTGTACATGTATGCGTAAATCAGTTTTTCGTCCACAAGTAGCTGGACAATGGTCACATTTAAATACAGGCTTTTCACCTAGAATCATAATTTTATCATTTCTGTGCTATAATAAAATATTAATAATTTAAAAAATAAAATTTACCACTATGTATTAATCTGTGTGTTTTTAAACTGTTGGATTGGGTAAACCTAGAAAAGCAAATATCACACTCATAGGGTTTCTCACCAGTGTGTATACGTAAATGGCGCTTTAATTTAAATGTATCTGGACTTGCATACGTACAATGGGGACACTAAAAAATTTAATTTTTATATAAACATTTAGTTATAAAGAAATCTTTAATGGTAAATACTTGGTATGGTCTTTCACCGGTGTGACATCTCATATGATTTCTCATTTTGCTAAGTTCAACACTAGCATAATCACATATTGTACATTTATGTGGTTTTTCATGAGTATGCTTATACCGAACATGTCTAACAAGTTCTCCTGTAATATAAATAAATAAAAATATTTGAAAAGAAAAGAAAAATGGATTAAACATGATAAAGTATTAAATACTTAAAGAACTATTAAATTTGCATACCTGATGTAGTAAAAGCACTTGGACAACTACGACATTGATATGGTTTTGTTCCAGTATGAGTATTCACATGATTTTGCAAAGAAGTTAGAGTTTTAAAACCACGTTCACAAACCGTACACTTATGTGGACGTTCTTTGGAATGAGACTTCATATGACGAGACAACAAATACCTAAATGTAAATTTTTTAAATTTCATGAAGTCAATATGCAGTAGAAAAATTAAGTAATATATGCAAAATAAATAAAATCAATAATTAATCAAGACATTTTGAACCTTATCAAGAACCAATAAAAAGAAATAGAAATTACCTTTTTCCAGTTGTGTAATTGCAATAATTACACATATGCGCTTGAGTTACAGTTTGTGATTTTTTAGGTACTAATTTAACTATTTTAGATTTGTCATCTTCTTCACCAGAATCCTAAATAAATATTACATTACTTATATTAATAATAACAGTTGAATAAGAATGTTTTATTTTTCTTTATACACTTACTTCTACTTCTTGTTTTTTTGGTAGAGCTGGGTCTTCCGCATCATTAAAATCATATACATTACTAACATCAGGATCATCTGGATCATGTTCTTCTTGTGAGATTTCCATAACGTTAGAAGTTTCATCATTTTTATCATTTTGCTTAACTACATAAAGTACATAATTGTTGGCTTCAGCATCAGCTTGAACAAGAGTTACTGTTTGATAACCACTACCATCTCCTAGAGCAACAATCTAAAATTTCAAACATTTTACTATCTATATTAATCATTATTTAATATTTTAATTTACTTGAGGGATATCTTTTTTAATTTTATCTTGTACATTAGGTAAAACAATTTGAGTGACATTGTCCATATGGTTTTCATTTGTTTCGGCCATCATTTGTGCATCTTGTTCCGAAAGGCCTAAAATTAAAATCTGTTTTAAAAATATGGCATTTTAAATTTGAATAAAACTAATAACTACCTCCAACCATAACCATCTGGCCATCTCCTGTAGTTGTTTGATAATAATATTGGACGTTTTGATCAATGAAATAAGCATGTTCTACTGAGTCCCCATCTAAATTCATTTTTATTAAAATACAAAATAAACTTTTAAGTAAAAACAATACTCACCAGTGTGTACTTGTGTTACTTCATTTCCTTCAATTTCTTTATTAAATGAATCCAAATAATTTTGTATATCAGTTATATTTTCAGTGCCAGAAGTTGAAGCCTCCAACTTTATTTGAGTCCCATCAATAGTCATTGTATTTGCTGATGATCCACCATCTAATACTAATAAACAATGGTCAAGTTAAAGGTGGTAAAGGCATCATCTATTCATGGATAATGTTTTTAAATTCAAAAACAGAACTAATAATATATTTGAAATTAAAACATTGTTTGATATCTCACATAAAAAACTTGTTTTTCATGAATGCTTGAGGTAAGTTATAAGTTAGATATTTATTGATATAATTGATTGATAATCATAACAAAAGTCACATAGCTACCAATGAAAATATATCATGAAACAGGATCAGTCAATAAAACAGTTAACACAAGGATAAAATTGTGAATTTTGAATTGAGAAAAACACTATTATTTCACTATAAGAACCATCTGTTAATCTAGAATTTAAGTTTATGATTATTAAATCAAAAAAAGTTTTCCAGGTATTTTTATTTTTTCCATAACATATAATAACATATTTATAAAAATTATATTTGAATATCATAAATCTGCGATTTAAAGGTACCATAATTTATTTTCTATGTATGGCATAAACTAACAATTTTTTTTTTTTAATAATGAGTAGGGTTTTAAGAACCTTTTTAACCAATATAAGATTTATAATAAGTATAATAAAAAATAACTAAATTTAATTACCAATAGTAGTTCCTTCGTTTTCAGACATGGTTGAAGTATTTTCAATTAAATACCTATAATCAAATATTAAATTGATTTTTTGGATCAAAATATTTAATAACTAGAATATACATAATATACTTAACACTGCTAACACCAACTACATAAATATATAGTAAATGTTTGGAACCAGAACACAAATCAAAGTTGGCTACTAAGAACTGACTAGAACATTGTATTCAATGTTTACTTGATAAGAATAAGATATCACTTTAGAACATAAACAACTGTTTACATTTCAATAATAAAATACAGATTTCGTTTGGTAAAAATTTCGTTAAATCGAGGTCACTACTAAACAGTCTTGAAGAGGAGAATTAGTAATAATATAATATTGAAACGGTAAAAACGGCCGAGAATACTAGACAAGAAAAATCTGTCGAAACAAAAAAATTTAACATAATTGATTGTCGCTGTGAAATACAAGAGGAAAACGATTGGAGAACTTACGACGATGCACACAAACACGGTAATAAGTATGCAGTACCTACGTTAGAACAAAGAGAAAAATGTGTAGGTATATGATATACCACATTACACTATCGTAATAATAATATATATTGTCGGGCTAAAACACATTATTATCGATTAAATCCAAAACGACGGTTTGCACCGTACAGGAGGGCCACACAGCCGTGATAAGGATTCACAACAACGACGACACACGAAGCGTCGTCGATTGGGTTGGCCGTTTAGCGTAATGAAAAATGAAAATCGTTTTGTCGCCGAGATCCTCTGCGACGACGATATTAAACGCCGAGCTGACGGACGTTTGTACCGATTGACGTTTTCGAGGGCCCATCGCCGTTAAAAGCAGCGCATAAACCCATAGCGATCATAGCATGATATCTCTATTAAAGGTCCGAGGAGCAAAAACCGTCACGCATCGCACACCACGATCGTTAAACGCCGTTTCGTGTCCGTTGAGTGACGGCGACACGGACGTCCGCTTAATAAAAATCTATTTCGGACGACGACCGCGGGCTGCGACGTACGCAGTGTACTACGTACACGGCGGGTCGGTGGTCACCAGCGGACTAGCGTGCAGAGTCAACTAGACGTTTAGATGATGACACTACGATATTGTTCGAATCGTACACATCGTTAATACAAATAGATAAGACGCGGAAGAAATCACGGAAACGTCCGCGGAACGCTGCCTATCGGGAATTAAGAAAGAGACACATTGTCGCACAGTCGTGCACTTACAAACATATTATTAGTATTCTGCTACTTACACGTTTTGTACACGGGGGGCATCATTAACAGCCGCGGCGAGACATATATATTAATCCTATGAAAGCGCCGCCACACGGCAACCGTACACATATTATTTTACGACGCGCCGTTGGCCACGGCCGCCACCGCCGCGCTGCTCATGTCGCTCATGAACAGCGACGGCACGACGCGCACAATTATTTGACGACGACAACGATAGTGGACAGTGACGGCTGCGGCTACGGCGACAAGCGCTCACGACGCGAATCCGCGACAGAACGAAACCGCCAAAGTTATTACCATATTCACGTCGACTCGTTATTCCGGGGTAATGTATGCGCGACGACGAACAATAATATTCGTTAATGACGATGATACACTGGTAAATTATTGGTGTTATTGTTGTTCTAATTGTTTTAACGTTATTGTTGCCGAATATTGGCGAACGAGAAGACTACGACGGTGGGTACAGCACTGGGCTACGGTCGATATCTTTCGACATTTAACGTCGGCGAGTGAGATACGGATGAGTAGGTGTTCTATACTTACGCGGTGTTCGCAACGGCGGCTGCGGAGTAGTGTCAGACGTCCGCTGAGATGACGCCGATGCTACGATGGTTTTGTGTTATAATGTCACGGTTTGTCCGTGGTTGTCGTCCGAGCGTTCATCAAACGGTGTACCGGAATTGGACGGGCGTTAGAAAACGGCAAACGTCGGTGCGCGCAGCGGTTTCGGGGACGGCACGCATACGCCCGATGACGGGGACGGTGGCGGCACGGGTACGGGTGTCAAAAAACGACCGCCATTTTTTTCCATTCCTGTCGATTGTTACTGAACTGTATACGACGTTTTGCTACACCCGGTGCGTCGACGAGAATCCGCCTTTTTCCGATGATATGCTCAAACCTGGTAATCGGTCACCACCAAAGACGTTCTAAACGCAAACAGTTTCCCGCTATTTGTTTAAAACAGTACACAAACCCGTGAAATTTTCAGTTTTGAAGTTATAGCCTACTAAAGTTAACGATTTTACACATGCGCACAACACTCTGGTATGCTAGAAAAATATAAATAGTTGTAACCTTTTCAATTAAAATATGATGAATAGTTGTTCATAACATTTCCATCTCACATTTAAACTACGTATAACGGCTGCAGCGGAATTCTTTTGCGTACAAACTTCTTTTCTAAAAACACTAGTGAGACTAAGTTATTCCGAAATTATCTACATTTTCATCACTTTCATAGTCGATCATGAACTATTATGCAATCAGGTCAAAGTTATTTTAGTTTAGTTATAATAGAGTTTACAAATTCCCTTCCATTACCACTCTGCAATATTTTTGGTGCTCCAAATAATAGAAAAATTGAAAGTAAAATACTAGCTACTTCGGATGCACGTTTAGACTCCTAGGCGGAAGCATTTAAGGATAAAAACTTAGTATTATGATCTTGATATTTCGACAGCCATTTAAATTTTCTATCCGAAATGGATTGAAAATTTACTAAATCTACTTTTCCTCTTTTGTTAAAATCTTTACTTAGTATTGATTTAAAGACTAACTTACAGTTGGTTAGAACTAAACCTTTTTACAGTTACATGTTGAACATATTGACAAAAATGCTTCAATTGCAGGTCGTGGGACTGTAGATATACTTATTTAAAAAGGTCATGCGTAATTTGACACTACCTCTCGTGTCCAGAAGTCCAGTACGCAAATATGAAAATCGAAATTCAATCGTACAATTCTTCATGCGGTATTATATAAACTTAAAACAGTTAAAACATAATAATTTTAAATTTTAAAATTAGTCAAGATTATTTGATAAAAAAATATTTAGATAAAAATTATTGAACACTATAATGTATAATAATATTACACTATACCAGAGGTTTCCAAACTGTGCCCCGCGATGTGTTATCGGGGGAGCCGCGGCTGTGCCTCGCTATATTTATGTAAAGCTGGGTTTTTGGCGGCCGCTGTGATAAAAAGCAAATATTGGTCAAAAATCAATGTGGAAAAGGAAATGAGAGTAGCAGTATCAAGTTTGATCCCAAGATTTGAAAAACTATGTAGTGATGTCCAGGCTCATCCATCTCACTAATTCAATTGCTTTCTAAAAATAAACTAAGTCTAATTTACTTTACTTAATAAAATTAAAATTAAATAATTCAGTATAGAATAATATAAGATAAATATTTCCATATTACCTATTGAAAATTAAACATGTTTGTTATTTTATCTATTTTATTTAAAAAAAGTCGTAAATTTTACTAAGGGCGCCCGAGCAAACTTCAGTTCTAAAGGGGCGCCACGAGTAGGAAAAGTTTGGAAACCTCTGCGCTATACCTTTTTATTTTTAATATTTTTATTATTAATATTATTAAAATTATTTACAATTTATACAACATAGTTTAGTTTAATAAGGAAATTTGGTGAACGTTTTATAATTGACAGGAGATAGCATTTACGGACAGACATTTATAGCAGTGCCACCCGAACGGGTATTTTTAGGATTGTTATTAACTCAGTAGGTCTTGCGGCCACTGTCTTTTAAGTCTTCTACGAATGTTACCAGTACGGCAATACACTGTACCTATAGAATATTTGTTATTTACTTAATATCTTGGACTTTTTGGTCGTTATTGTCCTTTATTTCGCTAATTAAGTACGATTTTTCAACAACAGACATAACGTCATATTTTTTTTCAATAAATATTATTCTCGTCTGCAGTTTCTATTACAGATATATTTAATTTAAAAGCAGCGTAACGGCGGAATGTTCTTTGGATTCTTTCAATAATTTTATTTACAGAAGCGATGGATGGGGTATCAACATGATACCCTAGGTAATTAATATTATAGTACTTAATAGTTACTCTAATTTAATTGTATTACACAGCGTAATTCATTTCCCACATAACTCAGTTCACAATATAGTCTTGATATACCCACGATCCACCTATAAATAATTATATTAATCATAATTTATAAATATTGTTAAGCTAAGAGTTTGTTCATATGATAGAACTATGTAGTTTCGTTATATTTTGTAGCTTAGGTATTCATTTCGTAAAATATTATCCGAATAGCAAAATTACATGTAATGGAAAAAAAAATTGGTTTCCATTTTGTGAAACGGATGTAAACTTAGTCCATTTCAAGAAACGTGCAATTCCGCGATATGGATGCGACATAATATACATAGAAAATGTTCAATTCATGATAAAAAAAAAAATAAATAATTACATTTTAAATTAATTAATATTTTTATACATAGTTATTATTATTATTATTTACTGGTGTTATAATAAATAATTATCAAGAAATATTTAAAATATTAGTAAAAAAAATTAAATACATATACAATTCGTAGATTTGGTGAGGTTAATAATAATTTTATTAGTTTGAATATATATATATATATATATACCTATTTAGGCCAAAGGTTTTATATTAATTGAAAACTAAAAGAAATCTTTTTTTTAAATTCAATAGTAAAATACTTTCTTTTTTTTTTTAAATGGATATTTACAATCTGTATACATTTAGTTTATACAATAAATAAATTTTTATGGCTTACAGAAGAAAATAAAAAGACATGTGGACTTGAGAGAAGGGAGCGTCCAGTGACACCACTTCAATTTACATTACTCATCATGGTTAAATGTTTAGTAGATCTCTAAACCATATCTTTATTTAAAACCTTTTATTCGGTTTACCGTGCATTTTATTAGTTAATATTTTTTTCTATCACCTATTTTTGTTGTATGTATATAAGCTATTGATTATGATGCGTGTATTAATTTGAAATAATTTTAAGAAGTTTATGAATTGGAAAATACCTATATAAATGACCTCAAGTTGAATAAAAAGATTTGATTAAAATTTGAGTGAAAGCTTCACAACAAGCATTTATAGTTTTTTGTAAGCTACTATCGTTCACACCGTACATGAAGAACGAATTTAAACCTTTCAGAAATATAATTACCTATTGTACATTTGTATAATCCTATAAACTGTATATTTTTCACGGCCACTAAGAGTAATGACTATCATAATATAATATACACATTACATTTTTGACGATAGTTATGTTTACAACATTGAAAATATCATAGGTAGGTATACAAATTATACAAATATTAAACTAAATATATTATTTATTATTTATATACGGTTGTGTGTATTGTAATAATGAGAAAAATAAAGCAAAATAGATAAAAAATATTTAAGTTAAAAATATGGCAAAGAAAGAGGAGGAGATGCGGCCGGATTGACACAAGGGACACAAGCCTTGTATGTAAATCCGGTATTAATAATTATTGAATATACTTGTTCTCGTGTTATTACCTTTTTCTTGTTCTTCGGAGGGCTCTTGAGATCGTGATTCGAGAATATGATCAAATACACTGTTACGCAAATTAAGTAGCATAAGAATCTGTACCTACTAACAATAAGTATTTTAGACTTGCACCTAACCTGGTTCGTCGTAGTGAATATTTATAGTACGTTCCTCGGAGAAAGATGTAAGGTGACACAAATTACGACATGACTTAGGAAAAACTTAAGTTTAAATAAGAAAAAACAACTCTGATTTAAGTTATAAAAAAAGAAGTTCAGCTGTCGCTCGCAGAATCTTGTGGGTATGGTGTGTGGTGGTTTTTGAGTAGAGCTCCTGCTCGCTTGTCTGGTGTGCCTGCACTGGTGAGAGAAGACGATGTGGTCAAGACAGCCAGAGTCGCAGGCAGCTCCAACAAAGGTCTCTGCGTCCTTAGAGAAATCGGCCTTCTCCCCGACGACGGAGAGCCTTATTGGACCATCCCTTATCTCTGGCGGCACATAAAAATAGATCACACGCTTTGTGCCATATTGTTGCAAAAACGTGTGAGTTCTTACTTAACCAAACAATGTAAATCGTCTCTCTCATCAGTGATCAATAGGGATTATTGGTTTTTATTAAGGACTATTTGCGTGTGACAACTTTACCGTTATTTTATTCGGTAAAATACGATTGCGCTCATTTTACCTTTTTCATAACATGATTGCGCACGTTTTAATGGGACAATAGAACATACATTTTGGGTAAGATATATGTACGATTGCTCGTAAAACTTCATGCGACGTTGCCAAATTAGGCATAATTTAATTTAGTAGTTGTATTAAAAATTGAGTTTTCAATAATACTTTGATAAATATAATAATAAAATACACGAACAAATCATAAAATACATATACAAAATACCATAAAATGTTAATTAATGTATACCGTCAACAGTCAAAAATAAAACGTGATTATAATATTATTTTTACAATTTCTTATAGGTTTATAAAAGCTGGCTAAGTTCATTTAAATAAATAATTAATTCGTCAGGGGTCTTATTATTTTTATAATTATTATATAAACTAATAGTTTTATTGTTGAGTAGCTTATCTTTTTTTGCTATTTTATTGATAGAACCTTTTTGGACGATCGAATACAATTTTATGGACGTTTCGGCTTGCGTTTGAATTAAAACAGAAATGACTACTGGAACTGCAGGATGACACGCATAAAACTGTCCGTTAAAAGTATGATGAAAACTTTCCGGACCATTTGTAGTTCCTTCTTAAATTAAAAGTGAAAATGTAAATTTCAGTTAGAAAAAAAAAAATTTGTGTAATTTGATTTGTTAGTATAGTAGCTGGACACATTTTTCTGGTACATCTACATTTCATCAAATTATCTTTTCGTTTATTAATTAAACGATATTTAAATTCTTCTACCACGAGTAAAGCTTTTTTTCTTTCATACAAAATTACACGTACTTCGTTAACTGGTTCCATGATGATAAATGATATTATTATAGCAGATATTAGTAGGTAACTAAACTACATACATATGAGTATATGGCGGAAATTCAAAATTACGATAAAAGATGAGATAATCAGATAAATACAACATATTAAGTTATATTAGAATTTGTTTCATCGTGTTATTAAATTTGACAATATTGCACAATCGTGTAATTGTATTATTCGTATTTAACACGAGCGATCGTAAGCCAAAAGGGTACGCGCGCAATCGTATTCTACCCGGAAACTAGTGGCCCGCGAACCTTTTTTATCTGGCCTGCGTTATATGATCAAATTACATCATATAATTTTAAAGTCGAATGTCTATAGTATGGAAATCGTCTTACAGAATGAAACATTAGGCCACCTACTTCGTGTTTCCTCTTCCGAAATAAAAGTTGATTTTGCTGCCTTATCATTAGCAGTCATCACATGTCCTCAAAACTCATATTAAACAAATACTAATACGTAGCATTATTTATATTTAATTAAATTAATTTTTATAACATTTTTTGTATTAGTATTTTTGTATTTAGAAATAGTATTATTCATATTTAATTACTTTCAATAATCTTTTCACTGTTAATATTCACATTATAAACAAAATAAACGCTAAATTAAAATGCATATTTTGAACTTTATTTTCTGCTCTCTATACTCTGGCCCGCTAAATTTTAATTTTCTAAAAATTGGCCCTCTATAACTTTCAGTTGCCCATCCCTGCCATATAATATATTAAGTCGTTTTTTTTTCATCAGTGGTATAAGGATGTTTATGGGGTTTTAATCTGCGTGCGATAACTTGACCGTTAATTTATTTGTTTGAATTTTATGAATAGTAATATACAATGATGTGTGAGCATATCATTACAGTATATTATGACTACAACGTGTGATTTACACACATATAGATACAATTTATTAAATAATATTGGTACACTAGACTAAGTACTAGATAATAGCACAGTTAATTAACTATCGATCAATTATAGTGATACAATAATTGTACAACTGACTTACGTACCTACCGAAAACAGAACGCAAGTTACCTGTCAAAATTACTACCTATAAAATATACCTTTTTTTTGGGAGGGAATTAAAGTAACAAATACCTAAAGGGATGTCTACCTTTCGAGTGGACTTTGAGAATTAACTATAACAAGTTGTAACTGTCTACGCTTACAGGCTCCAAAAGCCAAACAACGAAATGATACCGCAATTAAAATACGATTGAGTCGTTCCCTTTACTTGTTAGTTCTAGTACATGCCTAAATAGGTCAATAATATTAAATTTATTATCATAATATCTTTGAATTAGGTCCGTACAGATATCGTAACTATCTTTATAGCTGGTGTAGACCTTGAAAGAGTCGAATACTTTAGTCTTTCAATATATTTAATTGATTTTGAAAATGGAATCCACAATTCAATTAAATAAGTCTGGATCATGTGTCGATTTCATTTGGCCAAAGCTTGTGACGAAAAATTCATAAGTCAGGTTCATCTAAGATACCTAAAAGGTTTCAAGTATTTCTCGGAAGATTTTATGGCAATAAAGCTATGGGATAATCAATAAATTGACAGTTTTACAGATTACATTTTAAATAATTACATTAGAGACGATGTAACACAGTTTCCCCTTGAACTTTGGAGTGACTTTACAATAAACGCTAATTGGACCACTAACAGTTATGACATTTTTCACGCAAAATTAAATGCATATTTTCACTCGGGGCATCAAAATATTTTTATTCTTATTGATATTCTTCTGGAAATAGTCTTATACATACATAAAATTACAAATGAAAGTAAAGAAACCATGTAAAAAACATTGGAAAGGAACAATATTTACAGGAGTAAACAAAAAAATACATAAATAAGCAAATTTGCAAATTTGACTTTTTAAAATCAGTATTATTTAAATTGTAACCAGCAATTAATTAATTATTAATTTATAGGCTGAAGGGACTCAACTTCAATAACCCAAAAGTATTTCCAGGACTGAATTCAATGTCATCCAAATAAGTATAATTAATCAATATAATACCAAAAAATGCCAAAATTCAAGATTTGCATAAATGCATAATTTAAACAAGAAATAAGGACTGATAAAAATATTTTTAATGTATATAGTTTATCATTAATCATTATAAAATATTATAAATTATTTATTTGTGATTTTGAAACTAAATCATACATAATTAAGTAAATCTGTAAAAAGAACAAATGTAAGACATTTTTATGAACAGACATTTAATTGAAAAAATTAAGTTACCTATTGATGATCAATGTTGTCCATTTAAATTTGAATGCGTCATTATTTGCATGATATTGTATTTGTATTAAAAAATGCCTTGTAAGAGAATAACAAGAAATTTTTTGTAAAAAATAAAATAAAATAATAATTAAATAACATTTATTTTATCGTAATATGATTTAATATACATATTACATTTTATTGATTTGAGTATATTAATTTTTTATTTTATTTCATCAAACGTATGTATCCTAATATATTTATAACTTTATTAATAAAATAACAGTTTTAATATTTTCCTTAGAAAAATAATCAGTCTTTTTCTTTTAAGAGTATAAATTATTAAGAAACTAATAAAAATAAAAAACAAATTTAAATTCATAATGATCTATTTTTCTAAAAAAAAAAAATTATATAAATTAAATCAGTTTAACAATCAGTTAACTAGAATTCACTATTTATGATAATACAGCCCATAAAAACCCAAATGCAAATAAACACATTAATAGTATGATATATAATGAATACTTAACGTAACGCATATGTTGGGAAAGAACACGATTGGAAATTTCTAAAGTAGTAACCTGAAAAATATATTTTTGATTTAGTAAATTGATTTATATTTTTTATTATAATAGTAATTAGTGATTACCAACACAATATACTTTTGTATCAAACTTGTAATATTATATAGGGAGGAATTTTAAATATAATGTCTATAAATAATATATATAGGGATATATACTTGGTAACTCTTTTATTGAACAACATTTTTAAGTTTTTACTTTTTTGAATGAAAACGTATATTTTCCAAAATATTTTCCAGAGTACTCTTATACTTAAAAATCAAAATTTTGATAAATAGCTTATGAATTATATATATTTAAATTTTAGGTAAACTGAGTAGATTAATATTTTTCTGGGTATTCTCATACTTCACCACTCTGCTCATAAAAACTTTAAATACTTGTAATTCATAAGCTACTTGTTTAAAAACCGATTTTTAAGTATCAAAATACTTTCAAAATATTCAATATTAAAATATGAAATAAAAAATGTATGTTGTTGTTCAAAAAAGTAAAAAAAAAATTAAAAATTATAATAGTTATAAAAAAGTATTGTTTTATTTTAACTGGAAATTATATAAAAAAATTAATATATTTTTAAATAATAAGTGTAGTTTAAAAAATCATCCTTTAAACTTAATACTGTAGATTAATAACAATAACACTATCAGTCAATAAAAATAAAATAAACTGAATTGGTTAAGCTATTTTTTTTTCTCTTAAAATGTTAAATTGTATAAGAGTGAATAATATATGAGCAGCACTAATTTTATAAAATTAGATTTTTAAGATATTGAAGAATTTTCTCAAATTTTAAGCTTGTAAGATCTTGTTCAAATTTTTTAAGTTTTTAAGAGAAACATAACATTTTTATCAACATTTATAATGGAATGTTATAATGTCTTTGCTAAATATTTTATGAATTAGATATAGAAAAATAATTTAAATTGTTTTGAGAAAAAATTATAATAAAGGACATCCAATTTAATGAAAATTTTAACTTCTAACACTTATAAAAACATTGTGACTATATATTTAAGATTATAAATAATACTTAGATTTATATTATTTTTTAACTGTTAGGCAATACTTATATATATTATATAAATATTTAACTTATTAAAATAGAATAAAATAATTTAAAAGTTTAAAATGTAAAGAAAATTTAGAGTAATCCAATGTATGTAGTGATTAAAAAAACAAATATGTACTCAAATAAAAATACTTTACCACATTCATTAATTTGTCAACTTTTTGCTCAAGATCATTATTATGATTTTTATCATAAGAATTCCAAGTATTTACTGTTTCATTTTCATTTAAAATTTTACATTTCAAAATATGTTGTTCCTTGGTTTCCCATTGTATCTAATATATAAATTTAAAATAAATTATTAATTATATATTTTTAACTTAATCCATCAAACAATACAGTAAGTCTATACATTTTATATGTTTCAATATTTGTTTCAACCGTTATATATATATTTGAGGTACTATACTACAAGAAATTGTACTCAGGAGATAACCAAAACATGATGTATTCCGCACATCACTCAGAATTAAACTCTTGACAATAACTGCATAGGAGAGGGAATTCTTTTACAAAGATGCACAGAGAAATTGAAATCTTTTATGATGCGAATTATAATACCAATTTAACATTTAGAATTATAAAATTGAAAATACTTGAAATTTAAATTTTGAGTTATTTATATTTTTATTATTAAATATAAATTAAAAATACCTTCCACATTTCTGCTACATCTTTAGTATCTACAATAGGAATTACTAGTACTAAAAATTTATCTCTCATCACATCAGTCTGTTTTATTGACATTCCATTAAGTACAAAAGTAACTTTTATACTTTCTTGAGGTGTAAGTGTACCTGTACTTGGACGAACTTTATACTTAACAAGACAAGTGGTTTTTATCTATAAAATGTAATAAAATATAAAATACTTAATATTTATAAATACCTAAAAAATAATATTTTATTTACTTTAAATGCAATTGGATCTTTAAAATCATTTACAAATGTGAGGCTTGCCATTAATTCATTATAGCCATTGTTGTTATCTTTATTGAATACAAGTACTTCACTAGGATTAATTTTCAGTTTAAACTCTACAACATAATAAATATAGTTTATAAATTATTTTTATTAAAACAAATAAATAAAATATTTACCTTTTGGCATACACACAATATCTCGAGTATCTCCTGAGACATTTTTTACTTCCATTGTTTCTGCAAAATGAACCTAAAAATTAAAACATTGATAGTTTTGTACAACACAATTGAAATTGTACATTGAAGCCCTAAAACTTAAATAGTTTTAGGATAATATATAATCAATAAATGTAAAACCTTTTTCTTGGTTTCTTCAACTTTTTTAGTTTCTGGCTCAAAATTAAACTTATAATTGTCTTCACCACCCCAACTGACCATTATTGATTCTTTTGATACAAATTCATTTAAATTTTGTTTATTTAAGAATTTAATTTTTTTTACAGCTTTGGCTGGTAACCATGTTTTTATTATTTTAAAAGCCGCTAAAAAAGACATTTAGTAAAATTAAATTATTTAGATAGAAAATAAAAAATTAAATAACATAAACTTACCATTTAAAACCCATGGCATTTCAAAAATTATAATGTAATTTAAAAAGGCTGGATAATACATTTTAAGTAAATTTATTAAGTAATTTGTAAATTCCATATCAAGATTACTTAAACCAGAACCCATCATATCAAAAAATATTGTAATTTGATCACCATTAGTTAACCTATAAATAATACCACAAATTTAATATACATACTATAGCTAAAATAATTTGATAACTAATTACCTTTCCATTCTTTCAAACCAGTACACTGCACACTTTTTACATTCCTCTGGATCTTTAGAAGCTTTAAAATGCAATTTACATTGAATAATGAACATAAGTTTACCATCTTTATCCACGCCATGAGGAAACATAATTCCCTCCTCTAAGTAATCAATTCTTACTGTACCATTTGATTCACTTATTTCTAAATTCCAAATAAAGAAGATTAAAAAAAAGTTATAAAAATATAAAACATTAAAAACAAGATTATTATCTTTTGGTAAATTTAATTATTTTACCATTAACACCAAATGATTTTCTCCATTCACATACATTCCATAACATGGATAAAGCCTCTTCTTGATTTCCTTCAGTATGAATTAAAAACCTTTTAAGCCATGAATCTGAATTATTTATTTTAGCAAGATCCATAGGATGAAACACTTCTATGGAAATAATAGAACGTTTGTCATTATATTTGCATTAAAAAAAAATTATTGATAAACTGAATGTATCAATAATGATTTTAATTAGTTGGCCTTAAAAATAAAATGTTCTATTGCAACCAAACCAAATTATGTAAAATAAAATAGGAATTATACATCTAATATACTATTCTAAATATTACTGATATTGAGAATAAATTTACCATTTTGTTCGTTTAATTTATCTTCAAATGACTGTCTTAATGCTGAAATGCTTTCAGGTGAGATATCCATAATAGTATTAAAAGAAATTAATATGGAAACATTAATTTATCGTATTTAGCTAGAAAAAAATATTATAAGCAGTTGATTTAAATCATCTGTACAAAATTAATTCAAATTTTGTAGAAATACTTAAATAATTAACGTGTACTAAACGAAAAATTGTATAAAACTATTAAAAATGTGTCACTGGATAGTGCTGTGAATTATTAATCAAACTGTAATTTTTTATCTTTTTCAATGCTGTATAGGACGTAGGTATTCAATTGTTATCAATTTATCTTCTACCGCTACAGAATAATCAGTGGTTACTACCACTACCACTACTACTACTACTACTACTACTACTACTACTACTACTACTACTACTACTACTACTACACTATTACTATTTAACGTACTATATTACTACATCAGAACCGTATACCTAATTTTTTTAGATTATATTATAAACAATATAAACTATAAACTATATCATTATAATAATTATATTATTTATGCATTGTGTTCACATTGTTATGTGCATAAAAAAATTTACTATAAACCTATGTAGTTTATACTTAATGGTTTATAGATTTTGAATGGTTCAAATGATCAAATTCAAGACAGGCGCGAATCCAGGAATACTTTTTTAGCCGGGCCCGTAAATTTAACCTCAAAAGATCATACAGTAAAATTATGATTTAATTAAGAATAATTTTCATTTAGTCATAAATATTTCAATAAATAGTCTAGTAGGTACTAATAATAGTAAAAAAAAAAAATAAAAAAATATTGAAATACAGTTACATGGAAAAATGTAATCTGCTTAACTTATCACGTGCAAAGTTATTTAAAACTTCGTTTGGGTTTTGTATTAAACCTTCACTGCTATTAAAATAAAATATAGGTATATGCAATTAGGTATGCTTTAGTAAAAATCTAAAAAAACAAAATAAAACCAACCTATTTGGTTAATATACTAATAAAAATTCTAAAATAAGAACATGAATGCCGATATTCAAAATTAAAATTATTGTTTCTAAAAATTTTGGTTGGGCCCGGGCTCACTCTCTGGATCCGCGTCTGATTCAGGAGTCCAAGAGCCTGGTGGTACAGCTAGGATTCGAAGTACATGTTGAGATTTATAGAAAAATCCTTTTAGACTGTTTAAGTGAATGTTGGAATTGTTGGATAGTTACATAAATACATAATACTAATACATTAGCAGATACTAGTCACAATTTAAGATAAACCTTTAGACTTTAAGGTATGAATATTAATACCTGAAGAGAATAGGTAAGTACCTATTTTATATTTATCTTAAATCGTGGAACTATAGTCAGCAAAACGACTTACTCTATTATGGACTTTGGTGTATTATTAGCGTGTGTCGTACTGCAGTGCATTAAATGGTAGTTATATAAAATATTGACTATACCTATTGTTATTGGCCGATACAGACAAGTACTTTTGTTCCAAAATTATACCTAGCGTTCTTAATAGAATGAATAATGTGCTGGATTCGTGTCACATTGCTATTAACCGTGATTTATTGATCATGGCATTAACCGTCCAGTAATGTGCGCGCGTGTGCGCATTACAATATAATAACACTGGTAAACGACGAACGGCAGGTACATTTTGGTTTTGATAATTTTAACATTTACATTTTACACACGTCATGCACATCGTTCAGAATATTTTGTGCTTATTGCCTATAGGTATATTATATATTATAATATTTGACATTTGGGTACCTACCTAACCCACTCTAACCCTTTTAACGTTTGAACTCTTATAACGACTAAATGTCAAGTGACTCAACTTTGACGTTATTGTATTATAAATTAATGAAGTATCAGCTACGTATGCCTACAAATTTCAAAAGTTTTATAACGACGACAAAACGTAATGTAGGTATGACTTGTTAGTTATTTTGTATTATATTGTGGGAGGGAGAGCGGCATTCATTGTTTGTTTAAGTATACGTTAACGTTATAACTAAGTCATACATATTTATTAATATTTTTAAATGTTCAACATGAGTTACCTATTGTAATGTTAAGAATTTTTGGGGAGTTAGGTATATATATATATTGAGTTAGGTATATTTAAAAATACCGGCAAAGGTACCCTGCAAAAAATGTTTGAGCATGCCTATATGACACACACACACATAAAATATTGTTTTTATTTATATAGATAATTATTAATTTCAATACTTTAAAAAAGTATTAAAAGAGCCGAAATATTTTGGAATATTGTTCAAGTTTTCACAAACATAAAAATAATAAAAAGCAAATACTTACAAATAAAGAAGTCAAATCCGAATTCATTTCCCAAATTCAAAATTCTTTCAGAGATTATTAGTAAAAGTGGTGAATTTAGGAGTTTTTTTTTGTGAGGGGGGGAAGGAGGTGCAAAATGTGGCATTTTATAAACACAGTTTAGGATTAGAAGTTAATAGGCCCTAATGCTCCATATATACATACATTTATTTTATGCAGATGATGGCAATAAAACCTGATAAATTTAAAATGGATGAAAAATTATATTCAACAAAATAAGAATACTTTTTTTTAGCTAGATTCTGTTAGATGTATTATAAGATGTTGGAAATACCATAATTCTCAAGATATTTATTATCGGCAAATAAAAAATATGATTTTATTGATTTTATATTTTTAAAATATCAACAACTAATTTATTGGAGAATTGATCATTATATTCTAGGCGATTATTTTGTCAAACAGTACTTATTATTTAAAAATCTTTAAGAAAACAATTATTAACATAATTTCCAGCTGAAATAAAACAATAATTCTTATCGTCATATTTTTTTAATAAAAACATATATTTTTAATTTTATATTCTGAAGCGGAATGTTTTTGAAGTATTTTGATATATAAAATAATAATTTAGGACAAACAATTTATGAGTTGAAAATATTTAAAGTTTGATGAGGGGAATAGTGAGGTACATGGATACTACGCATAATGTCAGTCATTTCTTAATTCACTAAAACTTTAAGTGCTTATAATTCGTAAACTACTCATCCCAAATTCAATTTTTATGTATCAAAATACACCAAAGTATATCATTAATTAATATAGTTTTAAAAAAGCCTAAGATTGATTCCGCATGTTTCTATAATTGATGGTGTTATTGTAATGCAAATAGGCCTAAAAATGTGAAAGTATCAACAATGCTACCTATCAAGTATTCAATAGTTAATTATTTCATTCTGTACAATCACGAAAAGGATGTTTCATAGTTTAAAGAGCAAACTATTTAGTTTTATTTCTATCATAATAACAATTTGTTTAATAATGAATACAATTGATACATTTACATTTGTTAAATTTATGATAATAAAAAGTAAAAAAAATAATTATAAACAAATGGTACTATATTTTGTTACTGATCAGCTAATATTTACAATTAAAGAGCTAAGAACAAAATTTGATCAAAACCAGTTTCAGATTTTTTTAGATTAGGTTTATAAATTGTATAATATTTGATTTATTTTATGAAATGTTTTAAATTAATAATTGTGCAAATTATAGGAATCAACCAAGTGTAATTCACTTATACATATATATATATATATATTGGATATTATAATTTAAACATAAGTTAAACAAATATAAATCACAATTTATTGTACTATAAAATTATATAATACTCCTTAGAACGTTATAAATCTAGAATTAAATAAAATTGAAAAATAAAGAACAGAAGATTAAGTAATAAATAAATAATTGAATAATTTAAAATTGTGATGGTTATTTCACCAATTAATTAAATTGACTAAATTTATATTTTAAAAATATATTATACAATTATCTAATACACAACTTAACAAACTAGGTAGTAAAAATTTTAAAATAATAAAGTTAACACAGGAACACCAGAAAAATACTCTAAAACTATATACATTATTACTTTTTTTGTTCTTCAATGTCAATAGTTTGCTCATCCATGCTATAACCAGTAATGCTATCAGGACTTTGTAATGAAGCATTGTACAGCGGATTTGCTATTTGTCTATCATTAATAGAAAAACGAGTATTGTTGTATACATTATCTGTCTGTAAATTAGTAAATCAAGAATATTTAGTTTACAAATATTTTATAATATTTTACTAATAATAAATTATTATTATCTAAATTCATTTGAATTATCTTTAAATAGACTTAAAAATTAATATAATATATTTTGTTTAGTGTTAAAGTTAATCAAATAATAATTTTACAATATTTACCTGATAAATATAGTCTGAATCAGTTTTTAAAGATGAAAATGATGGTTGATGAGGTAATGACACAGTATCTTCATCAACACGATCATCATTTTGTGCTTTATAAGAGAACATAATACTTGATTGTGAAACACTAAAATAAAATAAATAATAACATTTATTTTTAAAAAGTGTATATACTTTTTATTATATTTTAAATATTATTTACCTAAAGAATGAGCTTAAAAATGTTATGTAGACTAGAGGTGTAAATAGAGCAAAATATAGAAATGTTGTTACATCAACAATACAAAGACCTTCAGCAATTTTTAATAACAATAATGTACAACCAATAGAGCCAATACCATTTAAATTTGCTAAAAGTGACACATATACATAAAATGACCGGTTAACTGAAAAAAAAAAACATAAATTGTTATTCATTAATCATTATTTATAATATATAATAACAAAATATAGAAAAAATTTTAACCACTTATTATGTATTTTTTTATAATAAAAGACATTAATTATATCCTTCCTTCTTAGAATATTTTTTTTACAACATTCATTTTACTAACATCTCAACTTTTAAGAAAGATTGAAGAACACACCTGAGCCTCATCTGTGATGGGAAAGATAAGTTTTTGTTTATTATTTTAATATGAGTAAACCCACCATAAGATAGGTAAAGGTGTAATAAAAGAAAAAAAATAAAGGTAAAATATAAATTTAAAAACATTTATCACTGTAAAAATAATAAGTTATTTTGTTTTCATAAAGAAATTAAAATTATGTAGGTAGCTTTAAAGCTTTTTAATACTATTAATAACAAAAATAATAAAAGTATTTACCTGGTAATGCAAGTTTTTCTCGAAGTCTAGTCTGAGGCAATACCAGTATAAACAAATACAACTATAAAAAAATAAATTAATAAATATTTGACGAAAATCAGTTAATTTATTCAATATATTACCATAGCAAAAATGACAGAACTTATTAACCAGAAAATAATACCACCATGACCAAATAAATTTAAATCCTTTGAGTTGATTCTAAAAATAGAATCTGGCATAAAAATTTCCAAAGCTCCTTGACAAGCCGAATAAGCTAACGAAATAAATGATGTTGTGATAAGTACATATCTTATGCTGCTTCTACTTTCCATATGACCTGTAATAAACATAAAATTTATAATTCATTCTAATTGATAGTAATATGGCTAATTTTAAAATTACTAAGCTGATAACATGCATTTATAAAATATTTTTGTTTTAGTTTGATACTACATTAATTGTATCATAATTATATTTACACTTAAATAAGAGAAAAATTTAAACTGAAAATACATTTTTCCTATTATTTTACTAACCAAAAGCTAAGGCGAAGACAATTACACTCATTTCAGTAGCCAAAAAGAAACATTTGACTAAAATCCAAAGCGTTATATTGATGGAATCAGCAGCCAAATTACTAAAATTGAGTGTCATTGAAATTAGGCATCTTAGTATACTAGTAAATACATTGAACAAAACCTAAATATATTGTTAAAGAACTATTAGTAAGATTAACACTTTTTAAAAGTAAAGATTATTTAAATCAATAAAGATATTATGAGAATAAAAAATATTATTTACCAAACAGTAGAATGTAAAAAAAATAGGACTATTAGCAGCTCGAAGTTTTAATCTTGCACGACTAAACTTGGTCACTAAATACATCATGAATATTAAGTTAGGAATAAGTATTGCTACATCCCATACACGAACGCTTTAAAATAACACAAATAAATGCATAAAATTAAATACTAATAAAAGTCATATGATAATTGGTTTTTTAATAAGATTGTAATCTTATCTTTTAGAATTAAAATAAATAAATAATGAAGTATAATATAAAACTTTAAGAAAATAATATCAATAAAACTTGAAAAACTTGATTAGGTAGTAATTACAATTGAGTACCAGAGTAATAAAAAACAAATCAATGCATATTGCCTAAATTAACATTATAGCTTTAAATTAGTTGTATATAAAAAAAAAATAGGCGGATAAAAAAGTTAACATTTATAAAAGAATTAAAGAGTTGTCTATCAGAAAAATGTATAGCCCCTACTCATTTATATCACACTAGTGTTAATGTATTTGTATGTTGTTGAGCCTATTTTAAATAAGAGACAATAAATTATTACAAAAAGTCAATTAAACCTTTTTAACTTATTTGAACAAATTAGTACACATATTTAACTTTATAAGCCAAATAGATACAATTAGATTATATAAAGTTAATAGATACATATACAATTAGTAACTAATACTAAATTAATGTCTTACTTGATGCTTGGTATTTCCATGTAAAGAACTAGTTTACATACATGTTCTTCGTCTATTGAAGTACTGTTGTTCATTATATTGGTTAGCAACCTATTTGTTTCTAAACTCCGAGGATCTTCCATAACTATTTTACTTTTTTGCGAGATAAAATATCAATTCAGCATCAGTGTAATAAATTGTTCTAAAAACAAATACTAACTGATAAAAAAAAAAAAAATATCCAACACAATATGCTCTTGATATTAAAATGGTTTAATTTTGACGTAATGACAATTAATAAGTTATTGTTCTCAATTTGAATTGTGAATAATGTGAATTAATTACAATCAAATGTTAATACTTGTTTAATTTTCTCCAATAATTAAATAATTCAAACATTAATTGTTTCATTAAACACACACATACCGTATCAATGTAGGATACTGACATATTGTTCAGCGTTCACTTCATATCGTTTACATCTTTAACGTTAGTCATTCACATTTCACAATATTGAATTTTTACATATTTATTTCACAAGAGAAAAAAAACATTATCTTTAAGTGATAAGCAGGCCAAATTTTTTATTGTTGTTTGAAAATTGATAAAAAAAAATATATTTATTGTTAATATCATTCCATACAGTGTACCAAAATAATCATAATATTTTTTAATTTTCATTAAAAGTTTTGTGAAAATATGTTGAAATGTACAACACTGTACTAATATTCTGTGATAATACCAGCTACTACATAGTCCTGTAAACATTTCGAAATTTTGAATTTCGATTTCAGATTAACTGCCGCATGAAGATTAAAGATATCGCTAAAACTGTATAATAAAACTACAAAATTCTGTGATAAAACTGTTAACAGTAAATTCAAATATTTGAAATTAATAAATTGTTAATTCAGTTAATTGTTTTATTCAATATTTTTGACGTTGGTAAATACTTTAAAATATAAATAATTGTTTAATATTAGGATATGAACAGTTAATCATGCAGATATAATTTAATTCCTCGAACCTATAAAATTAATTATTTTAGTAAATCTGAACTTCCAAGTAAGTACAAAATAAATAAATTTAAAACCACTTTCTACAATTAATCTTTACCTCATCGTATTTTAAATTGTCAGTATTGGTTCATATTCGAAACGACATAATCATGTCAGCAAGTAGTACTTCATCGTGGTCAGACAAAAATGAACAAAAAGTTTTTAAATGTAGTGCAAAAGCAGCGACTAAACATCCATTTTCCATACTTGTAAGACTTAAATTATAATTTATTTTTTTTTATATTGATTGTGTTTTGGAATGTACTGATAAAATAAAAATGTTAAAATTTTTGTTTCATTTAGATGATTGGCAATACCAACTGGAGTACTCAAATAGCAGATGCATTGATTGAGTATCACGAAAACAATCAAATTTCTAAGATTCAAATAAACAAAGCACAAAGTGTAAAATCAGCACTGTCTACAATGTCCAGTGTATATGCAGATCTTGTAATTATTTTGTTGGACATAAGTAAAAATGATTGTTTAGTAGATGTAAGTAAATATTTTATTGTCTAACAAGAAATAATTGTTAATGACAGTAATAGGACTAATATATATTTATTATTGAAGGTAGAAGTTAATTTATTAGCTTTAGAACCAGCATTATTATGTGGCAGAACCATTTTAGTAAACCCAAAAAACATTATTAAGCGTAAAGATATGGGAGTTTCTTATGAAAATATTGACAATCTTAAAAGAAAATATAATTTACTTATTTTACATGGAAATATAGATGTAAGTATTTTTTTTTTTTAAGTTTTAAAATATAAATATGTATTAAGTATTGTATCATTAATAAATGTATTTGTTTCAGGATTACATAAGTAGAATGTTTTTAGCTAGAAGAATCATGGTTTATTCCTATAAAATAAACAAAAACGGTTTACCAAATATTCTGGAGTTTAATTCTCTTAACATGTAGACTAATAAACTAGTTTTCTTATTTATAATTGTACAACAAATAAAACATCTATGTAAATACATGTAAATATTTTATTTATATATTTTCTACATTTATATCTCAATCAAATAATTAATAAGCAACGAAAAATAAAAACAATATTATTGTTTTATTATATTGGAGAACTGCTGAATCCTCTATCGGCATAATGTCTGGGTAAAATCCGATCTGAAGTTTTCGGAAATCCTGGGTCTCCTGGCACACATTGAGAACGAGACTCATGTATTCTCCATCCTGCTTTTCTCTCCCAATTCTTCACATAAAAATAGAAGAATTTATTATTTGATCATACATTTTTATGATAATAGTTATAGATATTCATAATTATTAATTATATACATTTTTTTTTTTTTTTTTTTTATGAAAATATTTTAAATATATTAATGTCTATTGTATAGTGATCATTTTACTATATATTGATTAGCTACCATAATAATTATAGTATTGATCAACTCTCAAATTTTTAAAGTTAAGCTGAGTTCAACTTTTAAACATGACATATAACCTAACTTTGTTAAATAATTTATATGACTTATCTGAGAGTTGTAAAAGAAAAGTTAAAACTGGGTCTCTTTATGTCGTAAAAAAAAAAGTATTTAATAAAACAATGAATATATAAAAATAAAAACCAATTTAATTTTTTTGATGTTAGTTAACAAATATACTACATAGTACATTCAAATAATGGGAACTATCGAATTATTCAAACTGTTTGATAGTCATTTCATAACTATTCAAATAAACTATAAAAAAAAAGTTATAAGTTAAAACTTGTTAATTGTTATCATACTTGATAATCAATATAATATTATATAGTATGTTTATTCAGTTAATTGTTAGTAGAATTAAGAATACTAATTTATTTATTCATGAAAGGATTACATCAGATTTAAATTTTAAATATCTTTATGAACAGTTACTTAATTTATTTATTTTTTAATATATAATTATTTATTTTTTCTACAACTTCTATTTTAAAATTTTTTTATAGACTAATACAAACTTACATTTTTAAAACAGTCATAATTTAAAATTTAAATTTGAAAATAATAAACATAAACAGGAAATACCCAATATTATTCTCAATTAAAAGTGAATTATCAAATCATAAATTTAATTTTTAAATATACAATAATATTAATAAATAATATAATATTTTATTTAAATTCCTAAGAATTGAAATATTTAAATTATCTGAAAATATAAAACCATTCGATAGTGCTCATTAGTAGTATATACCATAAAAACTTAAAAACAGATTTCTCTAAAATTTTAAATAAAACTTACATTTGTGTTATAAAGAATATAATATGTTCCAACATAAACAATAGTGATTCCCATCAATATTTTGCTAGTTAAAAACCGGACATTGAAAGCGGTTCTTTCACCCTAAATAATAAAAACAATATAATAGATAGATTATTAGTTTATTATATATATACAAATCACAAATACCCTATAATTAAAACTTTAATAATACTAGCAAAAAAATAACATAATAATTTTGTAAATTTAAATTTGATTAATACAGTAAATAATTAAAACTCTAAATTAAATTTATGTTACAGATAACTAAACTAATTTAATCACGAATTTAGTTTATATATGCTATTTTAAACTTTAATTTTATTACTTTCCTTTAGTGATTAAGGGTATAATGTAATATTTTAATAATTATTTGTAACAAAAGCATTAAACACATTGAAACCAAATTCTGATTGCACTATTTTTTATAGCATTAAAAAATAAGCATATTAAAAAACAACATTTGATTTATAGATTATGCTGTTTTTTATTGTACATTTATGAACACAGTACACTACATATTTGTGCATAATAAATGATGTATCAGAAAAATTTAAATAACTATAACTTTAAATGTGAAAAAATTTTGATTGCACCATAGTTCTTGATTAAACAAGTTACGTAAGTAATGATAAAAACAGTTCAAAATGACAAGAAGGAACTAGAATGCATTTATTCAAATTATTTAAGTGCATATTATGAAAAAATCATACATATATATATGGTAACTACAAAAATTACATGTATTATTGAAATGTAGATAGTATACTAATAAGCATCCCACTGTGGCACTGTTCCCACTAGGCAATTATCTAATTTTAAAAATATTGTCAACTCAAAAATAACTAAATTGATTTTGTATATACATACACATAACAAATTAAAAATATTTAATATTTTTTTATTCATTTATTTGGTTAGTATAGGTACAGTACACTTACAATTTTTGGGGCCAAAAACTCTTGAAATAAATTCATGGGGACTCTGAATGCACGTCTAATTGGATTGTACAATTCATTGTACATTTCAGGGACAGCAACCGGTTCGTCATGAGACAGGTGTTGATCATGTAAGAATTTTCTACGGAAAGCTCTTTCTTCATCTGTCATGTTAGTAAGTCGTTGTCTAACAAATCTATGTCTTCCTTCCAAGTCCATAGGTAATACACCACCAGTTTCATTGGATGGGCCACTAGGAGTCACCTCCGATTTGCTACTGTAAAATCTTCGAATAATATTCATTTTTCAGTTTTTCAAAATACCTTATGAAAAAAAGAAAAATGTTGAAAAAAATTTTAATGAAAAATACTAAATACTAAACAGTAAATAGCTTAGTCTTGAGCAGGTATTACTACTAGGTAGTCATTGATAAAGATATGCCAGAAAAATCAAAATTTATATAAGGTTATCAGAAGAAAAATGATCATATGACACTAATGTGACCAACATTCTTTGAGAATACAATCAGACTGGGCAACAGAATAAATTTATCATGCGTATTAGTATAATATTATCACTGGTAAAAACCGCGAAGGCTGTAAAGCACGAATAATTAATTTTCAGAAAAATTAATATAGAAATAGTATTTTTAGAAGTTTTAATTGTCATAAGATTTATATAATAAGAAATAGTAGATGTATAATTTAATTTTTTGAAATTACAAAAAAAACACATATATTTTGTATAGGATTCAATGGAAGCTGAATATCTGATGTTTAGCTAGAATTTTAAGTATTTTTCTACGATTGTAAGAATAAATGAGATCTTGTATATCTTATATCTATAAAATGTTTAAGCTTTTTAACCGAGCGAACATTTTTCATTGACATTTATAAAAAAATGTCTATAAATAGCTTAAATTGAGTAAAAATATTTTTAAAATTAAACTATGTGTAAAAATGATGATAAAAACTTTTGATAGAATTTTCAAGTAACTACGATTATTTGTTTTTGAATTACAAAAAATATTAAAAATTGTAAAAATAATTATTATACTGGTCAATATATGTAATGTAAAAATTTAAACTTCAAACGTTCATAAAAAATGAATTTAACTTTCCACTAGAATTTTTTTTTTATATAGGTTAAATAACTTATAGTCCTCAGTAGTATGTTTTGGTTCCTACTATATTCGCAAATCCTGCGAATCCGGCTATTCCACCCATTCCATCATTCATGTTCACGACCCCCCCCCCTCTTAATGGAGAAAACAATGATCTGAATTCTGAATTGATAAACATATAGTCCGCCAAGTGCTAAACCAATAAACTTGAGAAAATTATAATAAAATAAATGCACACTCGGTAACTTTTATTTAATTATAAATATTTTAAATAATATGTATGACAAAATAATATTGTATATACCTACCTACTCTAAATAGCACGACGTACATTATATTCGTACACCTATATAAAACAGTGACAAAAGTGGCATTATCTATATGTATTTGTAGAATGATTAATTGCTGAGGTATTTAGCAAAATTTTTTTTATTCTGGCACATCGTTCTGAAATTGTAATATTATGTTATATAACTTGGTGTAATTTTTATCAATTAAATTAAAAAATGCTTATTCGATCCCATGTTAATATGATTATTGTCATATATTTGATGTGTATGCATGCCGCGTGCTGCCTACATAAACAATACAAAAGTTACAGAGCATACAGATATTTAGGATTATATTAATTTGAATTTGAATCAGTCAATATCATAATGTATTATGTATCTCTAAACAGTCTAAACTTATGCAAATATATTATGTGAAAATCCCAAAAATCTAACAGCTGTATAGGTACAATACATTTTTATATCTATTAAACTTATATGACTAAGGCTTAACGGATAGGTAGTGCCTACCTAAACTAAGTACCTATCTATAACCTGCAGTAATGAGCTGAGACAACGAGACTCTGCGGTTTTTATTTATTTTTGTGTATTGGCAATATTGCATGTTTATTAATTTAAATAATAATAAATGTTTACTTACCGTGATAATATATATTTTAATCCGACCACCTACTAGCTTAAGATATTAGGTGTTGCTTTTAAATGTATTACACCGATTTATCCTTTTTCTAATGGATTATATAGACTGCACTGGCTGCAGTTATTGTCAGTCATCATATAATATATTTTAAAAAATAACTCTAATTTTAATATGTAAAGAAAAATGGTTTTGATCAGGACCGCATGGGTAATAATATAATTGTATACGTATTATACATAGCATTTTAATATTTAAATTATATAAAATTACAAAACAATATGCTAATAATAATAATCTGTGTAATTGGGGGTCATTGTATAAAATATAAAATAATTGAATAAAAACTGTGTTAATTGGAAAAATGTGTCTGTACATGAAAATTTGATGGAATTGAATCGAAAAAAATACAATATTAAATTTCAAAAAAAGAATTACCTAAAATTATAAAACGGATACAGTACAAAAGTCGAATTTTTCGTTAAAACATTATTATATATTTTTAATATTTAATATTGAATAATTAACAATAATGGACTTTGGAAAAATAAACGGCTAAACGGGTCCAAAAGCCGAATAGTTCAATGAACGTATAAGTTCAGAGCCGGCGCGAGCTATTTTGCCGCCCTATTAAAACTAAATAAATAAAACAATTAAATAATCATATGATACAAATTATGCAATAATATTGGTTTATCTAAAAACATTTATTTTCATAGTCATAATATTTTCGTCATAAACATAAAATTAAAGTATAAAATAGTCTTTACATAACACATAGATATAATTAATATACTAATAATATTAATACAATTATAAAATTGCGAAATTTATAGCTAAAATGCCGCCTATGGGTATTTAGACAAAAATTGCCGCCCTGGGCTATCGCCCAGGCCACCCCTGTATAAGTTGCTGGCTAGTAGCTAGTAATAAACAATTCTGTATTGTCGCCAAGGAGATTTTCAATCCTTTCGAAGCGTCGTCGTCGGAAGTTATTGCGCAGTCGGTCGAGACACCTACTCTCGATCGAGGAATGACTGCCGTCATTTCCGGTGGCGGACCGAAGGGTGACGTTATGATCGCGAAGGACGTGGAGCCGACCAAGGAAACGGAGGTACAGAATTTGTTTGGGGAGCTGGTCGGCTTGGTAGAACCGGGTGCCACCATGCCGAAACCCGCCCCTCGTCGTGGGCGATTGGCAGCGGCTTGGAGGCGCGTTAAGCGAGTTTTTCGGTGTGCGTGTTGCATCCGATGTGACTAGCGTCCGTAGTCCCCCAACTCTCACCCCCCTTGACCAAAGACATCGGACAGGACGACGGCGACATAAGGATGTGAGCATACGAGAAAGAACACAAATGGTGCCCGGCGGTAAGCCATCCACAAGCACGGTTTCCGGCCACTCGCGGCGCGAGGTCTGAGCACTAGAGCTACATTTTATATTTGTGTTTCTTTCAATGACCAATATTTATTGGTGTAAATGCATGTATATTTATTATATATTTATTTATTTGTATTCATTTTGAATTTCTTCAAAAAATATTTGTTAAAAAAAATTAATAAAATTAAAATTGTTAACAAAAAAAGTTGTATTTTTTATCATATAGTATCGATTATATAAATCATTACAAAATAAAAAACTTGGTGTCATGCGATGATTAAAATATCATACACTAAAACGTAATGAATGGTTCAAAAATCGAAACAAAACAATTATGTCATTTGATAAAGTAAGTATAGATTAGATTTTCAGATATAACTATCTAGTTTGAACTTAGAATTAAAATATAAAATGTGTACAACATAAAAAAGTGCCTGCATTGAAGATATAACCATATACCTACCATCTACCGTAATATTATGAAGTAGCTTTATTCGTTTTAATGCTTCAATACATAACATAGTAAATAAACAATTAATTTTCTTAAAGTAATAAAATTTTATGGGATGGGATTATAGTATTATCGTTGTTGTTACTTGTTAGTTGTTATGCTTGCATTAAATGTATCAACATACAGCGTCATATGATAAACGTGAGTCGCTATAACGCTCAATAAATTCATGATAGATAAATTGTCTAATACCTTATTTAAAAATATGCAGGTATATACCTATTTTAATTTACAATTTATAACTATAGGTATGTGCATGGACATTAAATATCTGTATAATATTATTTGATAACATGTTGAATTGAATATTGATTAATATCACGATGAAATCAAAATTGGTTGGGTGGTGAGTGAGCAATATGGTGGGCGGGGTAGCCGGATTTTATGCAATTTTCAAATTTTAAGTATGAATATTATCACTTTTTACGATTTTAAAGAAATTATAATAATCGAACAAAATTGTTTTTCCAAATGATTAAGGAACAGAAAAGTTTTATTTTTAACCCTCCTCACCTCAAAAGTTGAAATATCTATGCGTTTTTAATGTGCCTAAAGGTATAATGATACACACAAAATAAAAACGTACACATTGCATTGTAAAATCAATTCACTCATTATTGCTTCGCTCAAAATCTAAATGAGGAACAAGAGGAACAAGAAATAAATGCTTTTAATTTTTTTTCTTAAAAAATGTTATTTATCGATTTTAAACCACATTCAATTATTAATAAAAACATTAAAATATTGCATCAAATATTTAAACGATAGGTCGATAATATTATGGCCAAAAATATTATGCATAATATATAATATCCAGTTGTCCCGCAACAACAATAATAATAATAATTATTATTTATTATTATTTGTACAATATATAATCCAATTGGCTGCGCATAATAAATCTATAACTTTTGTGTTTGTTTCTTTTTTAAACTAATTGAACAAGTAGATATGTTTGCACGTTCAAAAATTAATTATCAGAAGCAACATACCGGTAAAAGTCGGATGGACGATCGAGGAAGTTCCACATCGGAGACGAACCGTTTGGCCGTGGATATAAATGTTGGGTTTAAGTAAGTCTGATTAGTATTAGTATTATTTATAAACTAGGTATAAATTATGAGTTTATAACGTTGCATGCACACGATGAAATAGACACGAATGTATTTTCTTCGTAATTTGTAGGATTTCTTGTTTAATTAAATATTATATTTTTATAGAAACAAGCGTAAACAGCAATTTCAAAAGCAGCAGTTGCAGAAAACGTCAATAAAAAACGATGGACTCGCTGCACCTGAGGTAAGAAATTTAACAGATAAAGTAGGTAATGATTGCTCTTTGCAAATTACAATGTTACCGATTATAACTTAACTATTTTCTACAAGGCAACCAGTGAAATAAAACAATATTCAGATATTTTTTTAATAAATTTAAAGTAATTTAACCATATATACATTATATACAGCGCGACACCGTGAAATTACAAAAAATCGATAAGATTAAAAATCATAACAGCGAGTAGGATTTTTAACCATAAGTCCATATCAGTTAAACATTATTAGCTGGTGTCTGACAATCATGAATTCTAAGTTTGAAAAAAGTAAGATATTGCATAATATAAAAATTAGACGGACAAATTGGTTGCAACCTGCTGTAAAATACTCGCACACAATTTATGTGCAATCGTCTGTAAGCTTGCGTAGTTGAAAAAATTAAAAAACTGTTGTGAAACTATTTGTTACCTATTATAATCTATCAAATATTATCATGTATTGATGTATTATTTATTTTTTCTATTAATGATTTATACATTATGATTTGTTTTAGATCAAAAAGATGTCTTTAATGAACATGCTAGCAAGCGCCGAGAGACTTTCGAAAAATTTGGAACGCAAAATGACAAGGCCTATAATAAAGAAGGAAAGCAGAATGAATGTCAATGAGAAACAAATAAAAAAAGTGCCGACGATGATGCATGCTGCAACAGTAAGAATTGTTTTAAAATTCAACATTTTTCTTACCATCTATTTATACTAATTTAACCTATTTAATACTATTGACCCGAATACCCGATCATATCGAGTGACGGCTAGCCTATTTAATTAATTCAACAAAATATACATACCTATATACTTCACTCCGATTGATTTGAAAAAAAAAAATATTAATATTAACGTAGAGTGGAGTGTTACGGAGATACCCTGAAAAATGTTGGTCTACTATTCGACTTACCAAAACATGTTCATTCAAAAAAGTTAAAAATTAAAAAAAATTGTTTTATTTTGGTTATAAATTATGTAAAAAATATTTTAAAAAGCGTTAATAAATTTAGAAATAATGAGTGTTTCCCGATAAAAAAAATCATTTTGTATACTACTATAGTCTATATCGGGGGCGGCCAAACAGTCGATCGCAAACGATTTTTAAGTCGATCGTGCTAGAATTTATTTTTAGGCTGCGCTCACGAAAATTAATTATGGTGGTATAGTAACTTAATAATAATAAAAACTTTTTTATCGAAGTCGATCCTCAAAGGTGAAGTATATTTTTAGTAGATCGCGGCTGAAAAAAGTTTGACCGTCCTTGGTCTATATGGTCGGTCTACCGTCTATCTATTATAAATATGTTATTTATTATGAATGAAGTCTTAACTATAATAAGTTAGGTTTGAATGATGATAGTTTTAAATTTTTTTGCAGCTATTAGGTAATATCGTATGTATAATTTATTATTTTAAAAACTTTTACTTGGATAGATAAGTACTACCGTTGTAGGTATTTCCAGTTATAATTTATAGATATAGGTACAATTTAAAATATAGGTGCCACGTCGTAGTGTGTTTGAGGTGACTAAAACGAGGTTATTAGTTCCCTTGACTCCAGAACCTACACGGCTGGAGCAACAATGTATCCGTGAAGAGAACATTACCAGCTATATGCCATCCAATAAGACAGACGTTGCTGTGCAAACAGTGCCACAAAACAATACAAGTAAGCTTAGAGTCATACATGGATAGTATCTATATGCTTACATATTAAAAATTTATAATAATATACTAATGCAAGAGTTGGAATAAAAATAATACAGCTTTTGAATGCGGCATAACATCGGAAGATGTGTTTGAATAATGAATCAAATCCATTCTGCTTTTTATTTTTAGAAAAAACACTGAATCTTGAAGTCCCATTAAAACACATTGTCAAGAAATTGGACAAGTTTCTAAGAAAAAACATGAAAACTACAAATATGTTCATAGAAAATAAGGATAATTCGTCAACCTGGAGGATCGTAGTCGCTGGGACCAACAATCATTGGAAATACTTCAAGTACTTCTCTTGGTTTACAATCGGAGTCATCATCAGATATGTAGTGAACTACGGTCAGCACTATTTCCAATGGACAGAAAATTCACCACTTTTATTATTATAAATATTTACACGAACACGCCAAGTTCGTCAAGTATGTTATTATTGATGGGACAATAAAGCTATTAATCAAATATATATAAAGTATATAAATATAATATTATAATATGCAATATTTGTTTATTTTAATCAATGATAAAAGTAGGGTAGGTAATAATATCAACAATTTATCAGATTATATCATGCTATTTTCAGATGCTGCTACATAGAGCTTTGTAAATCAACTAACATTAATCAGACATTCTAGAATTGCAAGCTTAATAAAAATGTACATTTTCAAAATATTCGTATGTCTGATTTTACATGGCTATTTTCAGATTTTATTAGAACTCATGTAACTTTTTATGTGAGGTTTCAAATTTTGCATCTGTAGCTATTGGATCTGCATGTTGTCCGATTAAAAATAAGTTTTAATTTAGGTATTTAGACGAATTCGGTAGATATTTATGGACCGTTATAAAGTCTTAATTTGGTGAAGGGGTGTGAATAACATGGATCTAAATATGTATAATAGTAATGTTGGCTCGCGTTCGACCTTCTCCTGCGATTGGATTTTATGCCTTAACGGCCTGGAGATATGCAATATAATGCACGTTAGGAATATTGATTATTGGTAATAAATAAGGAGCGGATGTTTATGCTTTAAAAAATTTTTAAATATGCATGCAATTATGCACTATAAAGTATAAAAATATGCGTAGAATTTATTAAAAATATGCATCAATAAATTTTTTTATTTATTAAAAATTTAAAGTAATAAATTATTAATAGGTAATTTAAAAAATAAAATAAAATTCATTATTATTATTAAAATTAAAAACGATGTTTGCAAACTTCTGTTGAGTTTTTTGTTAATCTGAAAATCGACTATTCCCGATTGACGCAAATACTATATGGGCGATAGACCTATAGCCGCGGGAAAGGTTGATCTATTAATATTAGTCTTACCGAGTCCGTTAATAATATAATACAAAAAAACTACACATATGCACTAAAAGTAAGATGAATGTAGAAATATGATTAAACAAGTAAAAATCGAACAAATATGCAAAAATATGCAAAATTAAATTGATAAATTTGAATTCTTTGAGTAATGAAACAAATTTCTATCGTACTCCGCATTAATTTAATGTTATTAAAAAATATGATATATTACTAATTAGTAATCACTAATAATTTAATAATACAAGCTACAGATAGTATAATTTGAAATGTAATTTATAATAATAAATGTACATACATATAGAGGCCCGTTGGCCTTAAAAAAACACAATTATGGTCACCATACTCACACACGTGATATACCTAGTGGTGGATTTCATCCAACGTGACCGTGCCGGGGGCGTGTAACAGATAATATAAATAAAACAACCCGCACACGTACGACCACTTAGATATATCACAACGAAGAAAGGCCAAAAAACAAAATTTCCGGCGCTACATGGCTTAAAACAAACAACAACAGAAAATACGACGTGAGCACTGAACCAGCTATTGAAAACGAAGACTTAAAACTAGAGGAAACTATATAAATGCAAGGCAATAAGAATTGCGCTAACGATACCTACTTGAGTAGTAGCAGGACCAACATTTGAAAAATCAACAAAAACGTGGTTACAGCGGCTGCCGAACAACGTACAAAACCGATAGAAAACGCAGTAAAACTAGAAACCAAGTTGCTCGGCGACAGGCAGAAAAAGAACAGAACGACGAAATGTCCGAAATAGCCGTTGAACATAACGCTTGAAACATAGAATATAGTGTAGCCTGTAGAACAACGTGAAAAGGTTAACCAATATACAGGGCGGCACAAAAGCCGAAGAAAACATAGAAATAAACGAGAGAGAACTTGAATAGATACGATGATGGCGTCACACACGCACTGGGCAATCGTACACGATAGCTAGGCTGTCGCCGATCGCACTCATTGAACTCTATATGATAACTGGAATGCTCACCAGTCATAAGACCAATGTAAACATAACCGAGATAGCGTGTTAGAAAAAGACAGCAGATAAGAATGGTGTTGCTATCTTTTTTTATCACACATAGTTATATGAATTGATTACCAATACATTTTAAATTCGTTGTTCGTTTAACGTTTTGACTTTTGTTCTGCCTTCTGCGTTCTCAAAGTTTTAAAAATAATTAAAATAGTGTGTACCTACTGTGCAGTTAAGACTTAAAATGGTGAATTTTTGTAGTGCCTTTAATTGTGCTAGCTCTAGTGATGTTAGAAAAGACTTGTCATTTCACAAGTTAGTATTAAGTTATTATATGGTGTTATTGATTTTACTCATTGATATTTTTAAACAGATTTACATCTATTATTTTAATATTTAAGGTTCCCTCTTAAAGATAAAGAGAGGCTTCAAAAATGGGTGCATGCTGTTCGAAGGAAAGATTTTAAACCTAGTTCCAATACAACTTTATGTAGTTTACATTTCAATGAAACTGACTTCTATTCAGCAGTTGTAAGTGGGAAAAAAATGTTAATAAAATCTGCTGTACCAACTGTATTTGATTTCCCAAATCATTTAACTCCAAAAATTAAAGAAAGGAGAATTCTGCAACGAGAAGTTTTTCTGGATATTTCCAGTACTAATATTTCCTAAATTATAAATCTACAATATTAAGCTTAAGTTAGGAAAGTAGTAAGTACAATCTAAAGTAAGTAGTAGATATAGCTCCAGGTAAATAGCGTAAGTACACTTTTATTTCAATTATGATTAATATTATAAATACTATGTTTATATTTTAATAAATATTATTTTACTAAAAATGCAGTTGTTATTTCATATGCTTGAGTTATGAACTAAAACCTTCTAACTTTCAATTTACAACTTAATTTATTCCCAACTTAAAATTTCCTATTACTTCCTTTATATGACAAAAAAATGCAGAAGTCTACAAAAAAACATGTTTCAATACTTGTTATATTATTTTAAATTATAATTATAAACTAATAAACTATTTATTTATCATTTAATTATTTATATTTTATTAAATTAATAAAAAATATTTTGTGGAAGTTAAAAAAAATAATGAGGTGCAACTACATTTTAAGAACCAAACTAAAATAATATCGCGGTAAAATATGAAATTAAGACATTAGCGCCATGTGCAAGACAAAGATAGTAACACCATTAGTATGTGCTATCTCATTCTAACATCCTCTTTCGGGCAACACTGCTTGGTGAGCATTCCAGTTATCATATAGAGTTCAATGATCGCACTGCAGTAACGCATGATAACACCACTAGCGATTATTACACAAAACAATAAAACATAGAGAAAAGAATAACTTGCCATATTGGCGTGAACAAGTAATGTGATCAAATTTGTAACCACCTCTGAGAGAGACACAAGTTTTAGTTGAGTCAGCTAGGCGGTTGGTATACAAAACACTTCGGATGATGTTGAGGATATATTTGGTTTTACAATATTCTGATATTGTTTTAATAAATTTATACATTTTGTGTTTTATCATGTTTTGGAACAGATAATTTGCTTTTATTTTCAATATTGGGAATGGTTTCAGGTAACAAATTTAATGTTTTTGGTAATTGGTAAATACCCACCTCAACTTTAGTGAATTTAAAGTCAGAAATTAACGATATATTTTTCTTAATGACACAGAAGAACTGGAAGGAATTAAAAGACATGTTTTAAGGACAAAACATGAACAATATTATAACACCAATTTTGGCAAATGAGGTAGTTCTTTAACTCACAAGTTGGTTCTAATGGTTCTATTACCAATTTTTAAGTTTTAAGTCTACTCTAGGATTTTAAGAAGACAAATATTAAAAAATTATCATGAGCTATATAATTTTAAAGTATAATGTACAGTTAGATAATTAATTTATTACATTATTATTGATTAGACGAATGAGGTGCCATACAATTTGTTGTATAACGCAAAAGTTGTAAATTTGTCAATAGTGTAGTTAGTCGTCTAAAGTGTCGTTCACTGTATGCCATTAATCCTTGTAATTTTTCTTGGTTAATAGTTAATTTTCCCATCATGATATCTTCCAGCAGAATATTTAAAACAAGCTAAAACACATTTTTAATTATATAATAAATGTTAAATGTTTGACAAAAAATTTGTTGTTAAATACTTGTGCTGCAAGACAATATTTTCCATTGCTATTCCAATCAACTACATAATTCAAAAGTTTTTCTTTGTGTTCTTGATTAATATTCTCAAAGACCATTTTTAAATCTTGTCCTTGACCTTGTTTAGATAAAGCTACAAAAATAGGATAGTTTAGTATTAATTAATAAAATAAATGATAGTCATTTGTTGTAAACAAACTTTGTATTATTTTAAGTGCTGTGTTTGGCCTTTCTAATGTGATGGACATTTTAAGTGCAGGTAACAATTGTTCATTTTGTAACAAGTTTTGTAATTGTTGGTCTTGTAATGCTTTAGTTTGGTTAGCAGCTGCTTCAGCGATTCTCACTTCTTCAGTACGATCATGCCAAACTACTAATCTCGAATCAGAGCCTCCAGTTATCATAATTGAACCATCTTCCACAACTTAAAACAAAATGATAATAATAAACATTTTATTAAAAAATTAATAATTAACTTTATTACAGTAAAAACAATAGATGGCACTAGATATATTTTATAATATAAATAAACGTATACTAATATTGAAGCACTCCCTAAAAGCTTAGCTTGTGATGAAGGTCTTTATCAAATATCAATTAAATATCAACATACAGGAATAAACTAATATTAACTGAAATTTTATTATGAAATAATATTGCAATAAAATTAACATATATTGTATTAAAACTACAAATAAATTAAATATTAAATAAATCAGAATGTTTGAATTATAACTTTAAACATATTAATATAATGTTCAATATCTACTGAAAATGTTAAATAAAATACTTTTTTAGCTAAATATTCTATTATAGTTTGGCAAAAAAAAAAAATGTTAACATTTTATTTATACCTTGTATTATGTTCATAAGTCATAACATAAAAAAAGAACTTAATGTTTGTATTGATAAAGTTTAACTAGAGCAAATTAACTTTTAGCTGATTCATATTCAAATTTTTTTTTTATATAAATTAGGGTGTTATTTAGAATAGAGATTTAATAAATATTTGATAATGCAATTAAATAATAGTAACAATAAGTTTAGATAAATTATTATTAAAAGTACCTTCTTAAATAAATAATACTGTAAGAGTAAATTGATTGTACCAAAGATAAATAATTATTTCATTTGAATTGTTTAATACATATTTTTAATATGATTTTTGACTATTCTATTTAAGTCTACAGTTAATAATTAGAAGTAGATATTTTAACTCTTCAACGTTTTCAAATTGAAAATACTGTGATTCACATGTATAATTAAAATTAGTATTACAGTTTAACGAATGCAATTTTAATTTTTTTTTTATTTAAAATATTATATTTAAAAATTAAAATAAAACAATATGAAAAAAAAAAATGAATAAATACCATGATAATAAACGAAAAAATATTTTTTCTTACTTAATAAGGCCCACACTTTAGATGAATGTTTGTCAAGCGTAGCAATACATTCACTAGTTTTTAGACACCAAATTTTAACTAGCCCATCACCTCCACAACTAGCTACTTGAGTACCATGATTTAAGAAACCACCCTTTAATACTGATGAATCATGACTCTCTAATGTCTAAAATATAACAAAATGTATTAATTTTTAAATTTAAATATATATTTTTTTCTTTTTACTTTAAGACAAGAATAATCAGCCATAGACCATATTTTTAAAGTAGTATCTGCCGATGATGATAACAGTACTTGATCTATAGGAGAAAATCGTACACACCACACGCCTCTCTTATGGCCTCTGCATATTCCAAGAACTGACAAATCACTTGTAGACCATATCTACCCACACAACAATATATATTAAATATTAATTAACATTTTTTAATAGCTATTTAGAAACAAATTGGCAGTTACTTTAATTAATTTGTCCTGAGAGCCAGTTGCAATTGTTTGATAATTAGGTGCTATGCAAATACTATTTATATCTTTTTCATGTCCAACTTCAGTTAATTTGACACTCAAAATATGTTGCTCATCTTTTAAAAGTTATTATTAGAGCATTATTAATATATTTATTTATTAATAAAATTATTATTTATTATTTCTCTATAGATTTATACCACTTTTGAATATTTTTGGAAGTTTCCAAAGTTTTAATGTAGTATCTGTACTGGCGGAGACAATAAAATCTAAAGATTTAGAAATAGCTACTGTGTTTATTGCGCCTGTATGTCGGGTTCCAATAGCAACACAATCAGCCGTTCTGCTTACATTACAATATAGCCATACTCTAATGCTGTGATCCTAAACATAAGTTGTATATAACAATAACATCTAAAAGATTATTAATAAATGTCTTACTTTACTGCTAGATATCAGAAAGTTTTTATAAGAAGCTAAACATAACACTGTATCTGTATGGCCCTTTAGTCGTTTACAACAAACTCCCAGTTCAACTTTATCTATTTCACAATTTTCATCACTTTCAATTTTTTTTTTATGCCATGGAAATATGTAAATATCACAGCTATTAATAGCAACAGCTAGACTACGACTGCATTCATTACCCAAAAGTGCAACATCAAGAATTTCATCATTTGAACCAATTAACTAAAAAAAAAAAAAAAATATTAGTTTTTAATTTATTAATACTTTAATTAACAAACCGTTAATTTAGAATGTTGAGGTCCAAGACTTTGTAATGTAATTGTGTTATCAACATAACAAATTGCTAATGTAGACCGAGTTTCATTAAAAATCATATTTGTTATACTTTTAGTAGATTTTATAGATTGACTATCAGCATTACATTTTTTAGAAATGGGTACATTATTTTTTACATCCCATACATGTAATTCACCTGAATATTAAATATTATTAGTAATTAGCATACTATAATTTATATAATAAAGAGATGTAGCAACCATTTTCTCCTCCAACAGCTACACATATACCGCTCGGAATGACATGAGTATTTTTTAATTCATCGTTTAAATCTTGAAGATAAAAACCCTCTTCAGGTAAAACTACCATTGTTTCTAAACAGTCATATAATGCTACCATTTTTAACTGTAATTTTGATTCTAAGTCCCATAAGATAACAACTTTGTCTCTGCCACAACTTTTTAGTAAACAATAAATAATATAAAAATTAGAAATTAAAAATTAATTACAGCCTGATATTATTACCTTATAAGATATTGTTTTTTGTAGAATACTAATTCTGTTACAGTACTAAAATGTCCTTGTAATTTAAATAAATGCTTCCCATCATCACAACTCCATACATGTATTTCACACTGTAAATCAGCAGCAAAAAGCCAATATTCTGAATTTGGTAGCTGCAAAAACTTCATGGCACTTATAATACCTTGTGCTCCATGCAATGCATATAAACAGTGAGCTTTTTCTGATTGCCATAATCTAATAATAGAGTCAGTTCCTCCAGAAGCAATGATTTGATCACTAGTAATTGATAATTTTACAACAGGGCCTTTATGAAGATGACGCCAAGATTTGGTTAATTTTCTTTCTAAAATTACATATATTAAACATTTCACTAAATGCATAATTAAAAATATTTTTTTTTACCATTTAAATCCCATGTGCATAATAAACCACTCTTGTGAGAAGTTATTAGATTTTTACCAGTTGGATCTAAAGTAAATGTAATTACAGAATCAGTGCATTCATCTTCTTCATCTTCTTC